TAGATGCGCAAGTAAATGTAAGATATTAAAAGATTGGGTGATTTTCTTTGTGGAAAATAATTAGATTTAATGGTAGCGTTGGGATGGCCGGTATTCACACTCGTGCGTAAAGTTTACTGAACAAACGTCCTCGTGTAACCAAAGTTAACCATGGCGAGGGAAGGGTTAATTCATCGTCATGGGAGTTTGACTTTACAAAAGTAACTGGACAAATTTCCAGAGGCCAGGTCCGTCCCTCCTTTCTGCTCAAGCTGTTTATGCTGCTTCCAAGAGTTGGACCTGGGTGCGCATCTTCGCTTTTCATCCTCTTCTTCCAGCTTCTCTGCACCTGATTTCTGATAACATATCATTTAAACTTGTGCATTTCTTTTTATTTTCTCTTATTTTTGTCATGGCAAAGTGGTTGGTTTTATTATATCTTTCCCAAGTCCTTCTGCCTTTAGTTTTTGGACAGCAGCGCCCAGCTGGACCCTGGCGGCACCGCATACAGTGGGAGAACAACGGGCAGGTTTACAGCTTGATGAGCACCGGATCAGAGTACCAGGCTCCGGCTCGGCCTGGCAGCCAGTCCAGAGTTTATCTGAGCAGGAGGAGGGAGGGCGCTGTGCCGGGTGCGCACAGAGGAGCGCAGGTTGTGGGGTTTACTGACGCGCAGCGCTTCAATTCCTCTTCATCCAGGAGTTTAAGAGACTCATTAAACAGAAGAGAAGCTGCTGGCGCATCCAGTAACACTGGAGAGCAGCGGCAACTCCAACAACTACGCGCGTTGCGGGACGGGATGCTTGTCTCCAGGCAACCCGCGCATCCATCAGTTCTGGAAACCGAACCTGACGCTCCCGCTCCGCTCCCAGTGTCAAGAGTTTATCTAACGAACGAGGCTGACGGAGACGGCATGGTCAGCGACGACCCCCGAAATCCGTTCAAAACGCACAGGAACTCTGTTTTTTACAACATGTATCCCGCCAGAGGCAGGTCAGTGGGCCGGACGCGCCACCCGCCCGGGACAGGGTACGGAACCAGGTACTTCCAAAATGGTGAGTCCAAAAGTGTCATTGGGAGCAAATCCGGTCACATTAAAAACAAGCCTCACTTTAACCGGAGTACATTTACTTGAGTAACATTTTTTGGGGGGGGGGATACTTTAAGGAGTATTTTAATTACTTGAGTAATTTTATTTTGTAGTATCGCTACTCTTACTTGAGTAAACTTTCTGGATACTCTACCCAGTTTGAGTAACTTCACAAATATAATTTAACCAAACATTCACCGGATATAAACACACTCCTGTAGTTTTTGTTAAAATTTCATAACTTTAATAATAAAAGAAACTGATTTTGAAATGTTTATTTTTGCCCCATTTTGTTATTTTATAATTATGTTATGAATTATTTTCATTTAGGTTTTTAAAATACCTAAATATAATCATAACTTTATATTTTGATGTGTCTGAATATGTAATCTTTAAACATTAAAAGATTGATGTTTTGATCAGTTAACACATATTTTACTCTTGAGTAAGTTTTACTTTTACTGGTGTAAAAATATGTGTTTGTATCAAAAACTGGAACATTTTCAGGAAGCATCTGATAGAGTTTGATATCCAGAAGTTAAAATGTACAAATTGGATTGGATAATCCTTTATTGATACTTCTTCTTAAGATTAGGGGGTTTGTTAAGATGACTGTCAAATTTTATTACCATAAAAAGTATTCACTCATATCTTAAAGAAGAGCCAGTATGTATGTCTGTATAGGAAGTCGTCATTTATTCAGCTGCAGCTCAATAAACTGAAATGTAATCTAAAATGTCATTGATTTAATTTAATTAATTCAAATCTATTATAATTAAAAACCTAAAATTCTGTTTCGCTAAAGATTATTGGAAAGTTCAGTGGAAAGAAAAAGTTTAATAGCTGCTCCAAAAAACAGAGGTAACTGCAGGCTTGAGAAGATTGTGAAGCAGAACCAGTGCATCAGTTTTTTGACCAATTCGAGATTCAAAATTCAAGTTCTACACTTGAATTTGACGATAATGTTGGTAAATAATGTGTGCTTCCATCACTCTGCTACTGTGATACTGTGTCTAACTAGATAAATATATATTTTGTTTTTTTAAAAATGCAAGTTTATTGCTCAATTATTGCACCTTAAGCAGTCCTTCCTGATATAAATCAGCAGTAGTTTCTATTGCATCAAAGGATTTAATGTTAGCAGTAGCTCACTCAGTTGCTCCATGTAGCAGAGAAACACAGCCAAACATAAAAACTCTTCTTAAGTTGTTTCTCCACCATTACCACATTTAGCAGTGAGTACATGAGCTTGATTGGCAGCGCTAAGACCCTCCTCCTGGCCCTGATTGGTTGGGTTTTGTTGGAAGTGGTGCATTTATTCAATAGGCAATAGTAGCTCAGAGAGGAGATGGAGGCGATCAATTTTTGTTTTTAATTCCCAACTTGCATAATTTGATGATTATCCTTTGAATCATCTGATTCTGTGAGTATTTTTCAATTTAAGGAGCGGTGATGTGAACTGAGAAAAATGCCTTTGGACCAAGCTAATACCAGAAACAATGATCGTGAAGGAATGCAAACATTTTTTAGTCCAGATTTCACCTCCACAAACTGTTTCCAGCCTAAATAAGTTGGATTGTCCTTCTCCAGGACTGCCAGACCTCATTCCAGACCCCTACGCCATCCAAGCAGGGACTTACGTCCAGCGCATGCAGATGTACGCGCTGCGCTGTGCTGCAGAGGAAAACTGTCTGTCCAGGTATGTTTCCAAAGGTCATGCAAGTCTTGTACGCACTCAGCTGCACGTCCGCACAGTAACTCACACGAGCACATGAAACTTTCCTTTACGTTTCAGCTTTAGATTGTTTTGGGTTTTTTCTTTCTTTTGATTTATATAAGTGAAGTTATAAAAGCTGTTTGATCTTCCTATGGAGAAGTGGCTGGCCAGAATAAAGTCCTGCCAAGACATAAATGTTCTGGGTTGATTTTCCCAAAAGCACTGAGCTCACTCGAACAAATCATTTGTGCTTCAATACATTTAAGAAAACTACAGCTGGGAGCTCAGCCAGCAGCAGCAGCAGCGCTTTCCAGCTCCTCTTATCCCATTTTTTATTTTTATTTTTATCTCCATCCAAGGTCGGCTTACGCGCCCAAGGTTCGAGACATCGACTTCAGGGTTCTGCTGCGATTCCCTCAGAAAGTGAAGAACCAAGGAACCGCAGACTTCCTCCCGCTCAAGCCCAGATATCAGTGGGACTGGCACAGCTGTCACCAGTGAGTTTAATGTACAAATACGAGACGTCGCATCATTTTGTTTATAGATGGTTGGATTAGTGCTGCTCTGTTCTGATCTGACGAGCCAGGAAAGCATCACCACAACCCCAAAATACAGTCATAACAATAAAATTGCGTCCCAAGAGGCATTCCTGAGGCCTGCCAGAAGAAATAAAATGTTATTTTCAGTTCAGCTAATCTGTTTTACATCCTCAGGCATTTCCACAGCATGGACGCCTTCAGTAACTACGACCTGCTGGACATCATGACAGGACATAAAGTGGCTGAGGGACACAAGGCGAGTTTCTGCCTGGAGGACACGGGCTGCGACCCGGGATTCAGACGACGCTACGCCTGCACGTCTCACACGCAGGTAGAGCTGGAAATGAAGTGTGAGCCAAGACTTTACAGCTGCTATGATTTTCCTTCAAACATAAAAGTCCAGGTGGGCCTGTTGGTCACTGTAAACGGACCTCCAGCTGCCGCCAAGCAGAGTTTCTGTTCAGCAAGAGAGTGTATAGTAAAACCTGTCAAAAATCTGCCTTTTCCAGAAAATATTTAAGTAGGATTTTGTCCTAATTTGGTCAGAAAAGAATGAAAAAGCCTTCCAAAACTATTCACAATAAGCAATTAATCACATTAAATTAAAATTAGCTTGATGATTAATATTTTTTGAAGGGATATTTTGTTTGTAGAGACTTCATAATCCATTTTACTTATGGTTTCAGTTGTGTGTGGTTTTTATTTATTGTTTATAAAATATTTGCCAGTTTCAGTGTTGAGATCTTTACAAAAATTGAAGTTTATTCGTCTTTGAGAGGGCAAACATGTATCATTGTCGATATATTACTTGAAAATGGGTTCAAAACAATGTTATAATTTATTGTAATAATTACTGGGACAATTTGTCATCTAGCAAAATTTATTATTGTGGCAGGCCCTTTTATACCCCTTAAACTTTTACACATTTTAACATGTTACAACCACATAGATGTATTTCACTGGGATTTTTGTGATTACAAAATTGTTACAGTCAAACTCCAGACATGACCTAGTTGAAAATGTGTGGCTAAGCTTGAAAATGAACTCTTTTATACCTAAGTTTCAAATCTCCGCCTGGATATTCTTGCTTATTTTAATTGTACGCAGTTCTTTAAATATCATGTGAGTAAATATACTGCTCAAAAAAATAAAGGGAACATTTCACTTTAATTTTGTGTGTGGCTCCAAATCCAGGCCTCCATTGGTTAATAAATTTGATTTCCATTGATGATTTTTGTGTGATTTTGTTGTCAGCACACTCAACTTTGTACAGAACAAAGTATTCAATGAGAATATTTCATTCATTCAGATCTAGGATGTGTTATTTGAGCGTTCCCTTTATTTTTTTGAGCAGTGTATATTTGCCCATTTATCCATAACAAGTGGAACTTTTAGCATCTAGCTAGCAAGTTATTTTCACTCCCTGCTACGGCGGGAGTGAAATTACCGTAATAACCCCATGTTGGCTGGAAAGCGCAACGTCTCCCCTCTCAGAAAACGTTGGAATTTTTCAGGTACCGCAAAGTGTAGCAGAATTATGGTAATGCTAATTTGGCTGGATTCCCGCCGCTACGTTTGGTCTGGAAGGGTTAAAGTTTACAGACTCGGCTTGCGCTGTTTTGAATGAAGAATAGAAATAAATTCACCCTCTAAGTGCAAGACAAGTAGAGACTCTTAAAGACTTGCAGCGGTAACTGCAGCAAAACCTGGTTCTACAAAAGTATTAATGGACAGGGAGCTGAAGACTACAAATGGATGCCACATATTTCAGATTCTGATTTGTAAAAATTCAAGAAACTTTGTGTAATTTTCCCTTTACTTCACAGTTATGTTGTCTTGGACTATGGCATAAAATTCAATAAAATCTGTGATTGACAAAATTCATTGGCATGAATAGTTATATTTCTATTAATCCGTCAAATTCAGTTTTTTATAAAATGTTTTTTCGTCACTAAACTTTATTGTATCTGTTAAACTCAACTCTGAGTTGAGTTTGTATAAACGGACAAAAATACAAACTTGACAAAAATAGAGTAACCAGATGTTTGACATTTGAAATTTATTTTTGAAAATTATTAATTTATTTGGTAGGGACAAGTCACATTAATTAACTTTGCTGTAACTGCGAAAGAATTAGTCAATTAGCTGATTTTTCATTTGCTATTCCTGATACATTTGTCTTGCTAAAAATAATCAGAATTTATACAAAACAAAGTTAAAATGACTTAATTACAAAATAATATCAGTAAATACAATCAATACAAAACTTTAGATAAAGACAGTTATAATAAAAAGATAAATTAATCTTCCATCAAGAATAAATACAAACTTTTTCCAGGTTCTCACAGTTTTAAAAAGTGGATGTGTTTGTGTTTTCAGGGGCTGAGTCCAGGCTGCCATGACACTTACGCCGCCAACATCGACTGCCAGTGGATCGACATCACCGACGTGCCTCCAGGAAATTACATCCTACAGGTTTACGATTCATTCTCCTGATTCATGATTTCATTGAATTCACAGCAGAACTCCAAACATTAAAAATGTTCCTGCAGAATCGCCAAGTTTTTGTTGTTTTGTTTGTTTTCTTCAGGTTACAGTGAATCCCAATTTCCACGTCCTGGAATCAGATTTCACCAACAACGTTGTGAGGTGTGACGTCATATACACAGGCATTTATGTTCAGACACGCGGCTGTCGAATAGCAAGGTACCAACCACGCACTTTAAGAGCCTTTTAATAATCAGTTCGTGTAGCTACACACTTCGTTATTCTGTTACTGATAATGTGGTAAAACTTGATTAAGCTGAAATTAATGTGAAACTTGTGTCCACTTCCCAATCATCTTAACTCTTTCTTTGAAGTATGAGATAAAATAATTTAAAGGTAGTCCTCCCTCTTTATTCCATCCACTTTGAGCGGCACCATTCCTGAAAAAAGTCCCACAGCATGCCACTGTCAACACCGTGCCTTATGATCATTTCTCAGCAGAGCTGTCCTGTTATTGTGGTCAAATAGTTTAATATCTTTCTGATATGAATATAAAACGTTTCACCAGAAGTAATGCTGTTTCTCCATGTGAGCATTTGAACATTTTAATCAAGTCAGTTGAGTTTGAAGGAGGTTGTGTCAATCCGATGTAAATTACAGAGATATTTCAGCACTTTCAACTTCATGAGCATTGACTTGTCTTTAATTGTCTGTGAATGTTCAAACAAATTCACTTTTATCTGAGCTGGACAATTTGTAGTTTCTTCTGAAACTAATTAGTCACAGAAAAACTTGGACTTATGTGTAAATGTCTGAACATAGACTTTGGTTTGATCTGCTGAGTATATGCTAATCCAATGAATGCAGGCAAATAAATCATTGTTTGCTTGTAAATGGGATTAATGTTCTGCAGAAGTGAACAGGTCATGACTTGGTGAAGTAAGAAGATCTTGAGCATCATTTGTGAAGTGATTTAGGTGAACTTTTGCATAGATTTTACAGAAATTCTTCTATAAATTGTAGTTTCTGCAAACGATAATATTGTTTTTACACTAATGGTTGCAGAACAGCAAAAATAAATCAGTACAGCCCATCATTCATATAACACTTTTACTCATAATATACATGTAAACCCTAGTTTGTCATATGTCCATACATTTATCATGTCTTTCTTTTTTTCAGGGTTTAAATATTCCTAAATTCCTGCATCAAGCTGCTGGGTTTCTGCAGCAGAACGTCGCCTCCTGTATTCTGAAAGAAGCAACTGGTGAAGTTTGTATTACAGATTTAAATGGAAAAAGTTGCATTTATTGGTCATTTCTGTAAAATATTGTGAATGAAACTAGAGATTTAATAAGAATTACTTGATTATGCAAAATCTGCAAGTACTGTTGCTTTGAGAAGCGTTGCTTAGCGGCTTTAAATCTTTGTTTTGTTGTCGTTTCTCGGCTCTGTTCTTGTTGTGCGCTGCTCTGTCCTGTCTGTGTCCGCAGAGTTCGTTGTATATTTTAACAATAAAACTCCTGGAAAGTTTTAAAACCAGCAGCATTTTTGGTCAGGCTCCATCTTTCAGGCTGGACGGCCGTCAAGTGAACGTTGTTTAGTCTGAACCCAACTCTGGGGAAAACAATCTCAGAAACCTCGAAGATCTGTCCCGAGTTATGTAGTTTGGTTTATTTAAAAAGCTGCATGCAGCGGGATACTGAAACAACTGTCAAGTGTTAATTCTGGCAACTGTTGCACAAACATGGCAACCTCATGGTGGATGTGGGCTTGACCAAAAGTAGCTGTGATAATGAAGGAATGTCCGGTTTAAACAGAACAACCAAATATTTTCAGGGAACATCAGATTTGTTCCCCATGACACACGAAACACTGATTATCCTTAACCTTTTCCTTCAACCCCGCTTGATTTGTCATTTACAAGCATAGGTTAGAGGCAGAAATGTACCTACACCCATCGTTTGCATGCATGTGATTAATTTGGGCTTTTAATGATTAATTAGAAATGTCCTCTTTCCAGTTGTTCTCTCCAACGAAGACACTGGTGCTCCAGTTCGACTAAAACCTTGTTGGTTTTGGGTTGTTCCTAAACATTATGACCAATTTCCTTGCAGGAAATTGACAAAAGCTGCATTTCCATTACAAATCTTTGTTGATATTCTGCAGCTTACGAAACCACCCCTCCACCCACCCACAATTTCGCAATTGCGGTGTTGCCATTACATAAGAAATTAAACTAAAATCACGCGATAAGTCATTGGAAAACATTTTGCACCATCATCCTCCAACTACTTACTTTTGCCTTCTTCATTTTTTTAATCAGTAACATCTGATTGTTGATCACCTCATCGTAGTGCAAAAACTTTTTATTGAAAAACATGAGTTTTTTTTTTTTATTGTTGTGTTTCCATTAAGCAAATTTGTATTGGTAGTTTCAGTTTTCAGAATTTTATGGAAATGGAGTTAGTGATAGTTTGGATCAGATGGTTGACTGAACATGATCCTTAACAGACATCAAAACTGGCTCTGGAGTTATTTTTAACTGATTAATTTATTTTAATTTAGGCTAAAATGAATCCCCAGAATCAACCCGACCGCAGCTCTACTGAAGATCTTAGAACTAGGTTTAAAAACCAGAATAAAAGTGGATAAATATCCACACAGAACTGCACAAAAAGCTTGTTGAAGGCTACAAAAAGAGTGTTGTCAGGTTCTAGTTTTATGGGACGTAATTATCAACCAAAACATGTGCATCTAAAAATGTTTTATTTTTTTTAAATCTAAGTTTTTCGTATATTATTACATGCTGGAGCTGTAAAGTGGTGCAGTTTGTACTGACAATGAGTGGATGTTTCTCTCCTGGAAAAAGAACTGTTCAAATCTATCTTTAAAAGCCTCAAATTAATATGAACTGTTAAGTCAGAGTAAAATTTCCGAGCTTAAATACGTGTGTTCATGTGTATTAGAACAAATGTGCGTTTTTGTCGACTTTATTTTAATAAAATATTGTTCAGAATTTATTCCGGTTGGATTTAAATCAACGCACTTTGTTGAGGGTTTGAATTTATGAGAGCAACATTTCTAAAGTAAATCTAAATCGCCTCCATTTTCATGGGAAATCTTCTTTATTTGCAATAAATATTGTGTTTTAATATAAAAATGAAAATAATTGTATGTTACTGCAGCATCCTGTGGTGCAAGAACGTCTTTTTCCCACTGTCGGGTGAGCGGAAGAGCTCTGCTTTGATGGATGTGGTTGAGCAGCTTGTGGCTTCAAACACAAACAGAGCTGCAATTAAACACCAATGGCATGTTTGCCGACAGATCTCTGTGAAGGCACAATAACGAGATCTCGTGTTTCTGTGTCACTTTTACTGAAACACGTCCAGGGAGGAATGAACAGAGGCCATTTGTTACTGTCCTCCGAGTTGCATTGTTAAAGAAAAAGCCAATTTCTTTATTCTAATTCAACACATGCTTTCGTCGTCACTGGGGACTTTGTAGAAGTTTCAAATTGCAAAAAAGTAAGATAAATGCTGGAGGATATAAAGTATTTCACCAGCATGGTGTTTGAGTTCAGTTTTAGCTTTAGAAACCAGGACATTTTAGTTGCCAGGCTCCTTCCCTGCCTCAATACATTGTGTAAGCCACAAAATATGTTTGGAAATCCCCCCTACTCCAATTATCCATCTCCATTCCTGTTTGTCTTGGACTTCTGGAGCTAATATTTACAGACAGGGATCTTTCCAGCAGCTGATTTCAGCTACAAAAGCCTAAAGCTGAGATTGATGTGCTTGACTAAATAAATATCAGAGTTCAGAAATGTGCTAAGAGCTCATCAGGGTTGTACTTGAGAATGAGACTGTTTTCTTTGTTACTAATGTTGGCTGAATAAACACCTACAGCTTCTTGAGGTTTCTGCAATAAAATGTTCATTAGGAACAATCCAGTCATAATGGGGCTGGCATCCTGCGATTTTTAGTTTTTATCCCTGGTTCAACACACCTGAATCAAACGATGGTTCATTAGCAGACGACCTTTGACTGAATGAGAGGTTAAAAGCATTCCTGAAAGGAAAATTAAAGAAAAATGGCAGAAACAGTGGGAAGATTATTCAAAAGAGAGATTGTTCTTCAAGAATTCAAAGAACCATTTGAATTTTATGGTTCCTTGAATTTCAAATAATTTGTTTGAATTAAAATTGCTTGTGTTTCCAGCACAAACAACTGTTTCCTCCAGCAATTTGTGCTTGAAGAAACAATTCAGGAAAGAATACTAACTATTACTGCTGGGACATTAATGCAACTTTACATGTATGTGAGTTCTGTGGGGAAAGTGAGACATAAAGTATACAATGTTTAGGAAAAAGAAAGACAGAACATAATCAATGAGGAGGCTAGAAATGGAAAAAACTGTATAATTTTATAAATAACTTTTTCTAAAAAACAAGACTTCATATTTTTGAAAGGTTTCTAGCACATAAACCACTATAAATAGTCATTTTGAGACTAATTTTGTATATGTTCTACAAAGAACATGAATATTTTTAAGTTTCTTTCTCTCAAATTTTAAAATTTTGGCATTGCTCAGAAATATTCTTGTTTTTTCTAGAAAATTTCAGAATTTTCTGACAGACATTTACCATTCCTAAAAATCTACAATGGCCATAACATGATGTTGTAAGTATTTTAGTTTCCTAAACTGCAAATATTATTTATTTATTTATTTTACAATGTTATAGATGCGCTCTAAGAAATCCACAGAAAAATCGACGAATTTCTGAGTTGCAGACAGATGACGTGGCGCAGACAGATGACGTGGCACCGACGTCACACAAAGCCGATGAAGTCAGGAAGTAACAGGAAGTAATTGCAGGACGTTTATTTCTGTTGATCCAGCTTGAAGATGCCTAAAGTCCGCGTCCTATACAGTTTTAACAACCGTTTTAATAGTGAGAAAGATAAACGTTGGAAGGTAGTTTTTCACAAGGGAGTTAATTTAAAACAAAACAAAACAAACAAAAAAACGTACCGAAAAAAGACGAGAAAAGTGGATCAACAACCTACGGCTAAAAACAAGAGGTGCGCAAGCTAGCAATGCCAGTTTGCATTCCACTTTCTAACAGGTAAGGATCGCATCGTTTAAATTGTATTGTCAGATATTTCATTGGAAAGTTACTTAGTCAAGCATTCATATGTTAGGTAAGATATGTACCATGTTTTTAATGGTTGACTTACATTGTATAAAGGTAGAATGATTCAACATTAACATACAACTCCAGCATGAATTTGGGTTTACAGAAGCTAAATAAATTATTTACCAGGAGATTCAAGCACATAGAAATAGCATGGACTAGTTCGTTCTTAGCTTGGCGATAGCATTGTTATCGTAAACTAATTACTCAAAATAGCATAAGTCGCTACTCACCCAGCAGAAACAAGTCGACAGACATAATGCTTCTCTTGATCCTAAATGTTTGACCCAAACAAAATAATTGCTTCAGGCTATTGAAAGGCTCGTCCAGCACCAGGTATTAGTTAATGTCGATCGCCTCGACTCCGGGTAAATCCTCAAGATTATATGACAAGTCTTTTTTACCGAGGCAATATGGATCATATCCTACATATATTCATGTTTTTTCAAGATACTTCGTCCGTACCAGCCCATTTAGGGCAGTAGCGTACTTGCTGTGGTCCATTTTGCTCTATTTTGAACCGAATAAATCCACTTCCTGACCCCCATCTGAATTTCGCCCTCATCCGAGTCGCGTTTGAAACCCAGCAATACAGGAATCCTCTGTAATGATGTCTAAATTGTAGCTAGGATTGATTGAATTGGCTTAAAATGCAGTGAAAACGTTAGATTTTTAGCGCATTTTCTTAGCTAATATTAAATTTTTAATATTAATTTTCACTCTCCACCTCGCTTTTGCCAATTTACATCCAATGTCCAGTGATGCGTTTAAATCTGAGTGAGAATGGTTTGTTCTTTTTCAGACCAATATGTCATTTCAAACAAGCCGGGCTGTGGAGAAGACAATACCTGTTTGCTCAGCTGTGCAGCTTCACGTCAACATCTGGAGACGATCCTTTGGCACTGAAAAGCCAAAGGGAAAAAAAATACTAGGCTGGTATCTTTTATTTGGCTGGAGAACGTATATTCCAGTGTACAGGGAGGTGAAGAAGGGAGGTTGTGCCATATGTATTTAACATACACTGAGTGGAAACCAGAGGAGCTTTCCAGGTGTTGTAGTGTTTGCGGAGGTTATAGAGGGCAGGGTTTGGTATTTGGAGGTCGTATTTCAACAAAGCCAGCCCGCGTGACAGCGGGCGAGAAAAGGGAAACGTGCTCGGCCTCCAGAGAGCATCGGCAGGTTGGTTTAGGCGCAGAGAGGAGAAATTCCTCAGCAGCTCTGTAATCCTGCTGAGATTATTCAGGACGGCTTGGGGGTCATCCGACGGCCCAGGGGAGACGGAGAGCAGACACACACTTCCTCACATCGGAGTCCTTACACAACAAGCGCACACACGCTTCTTCCAGCGAAGCCAGAGACAAAACAGTTGAGTCATCTTTGAGTGGGACTGGTGATGGATTCAGTTTTTCTTTCTCTCAAAGTGGGTGGTATCATAACTTGGGTGGTATTTGGAGGGATTTCTGCTTCTCTTGACTCAACATGTTCTTCATCTCTTCTAGTGATTGTGGCCACAACATAAAAGTTGTTTTGATAAAACAAATGAAACCTTGCTTGAACATAGAAAAGCCTTTTTAAGATCTGGCTCCTAACACTGATAAATGAAAAGAGATGACAAGAATAAAGTTTATTAATGTTTAAGGGGTCCGTGATTAATTGTAAGAACAGATTTTATTTTAGAAATATTCATTTTAGATGTAAAAACAATACAGTAATAACACTGTAGGCCGTTTAGTTTTTATAAATTTGAATAAAATATTGTCACACGAACGTCTCCATATTGTTCATGCTGCAATGCATTCTGGGTAAATCATGTCTAATGGTCCAACTGTGGTAGCCCCGACCAGCTAAAACAGCAATGAGTAACATCATGAAACCTTTTTAATTTGAACCAGAGCGTTGAAATCGATGGGGGTGTAGAAATCAGAGGAGGAGGACCAAATGGAGGAAGAGGACACAGTTGGTCATTGGAGCTGGTGTTTGCTGCTGCTGCTGCTGCCTTCAGCTTCGTAAATTAAACAATGAATGACAGTACCTCTGGTCGGACTGTGTGATCCGGTCAGTAGTTCTATAGGTCTGTGTCTGGTCCGATGTTCGTCTGGGCCAGCAGTAGTGCTGCTGGTACTACTGCTGCAGAGCTCCGTTAGCATTTAAAAGAACCTCCAGTGCTGTCAGTCTGATCTCCCAGTGTGTTTTGCTCCGGCAGGGTTTAGGCACATTGTGGATAAAAACGGTCCACACTGCATTTGCTTTCAACTCACTAAGGTAATGATCACCTGTTAGAGCCTTTGTCGGTTTTGCTCATGCAGATGACGTCTTCTGGAGAGAAATGTTGAGATCACAGATTAGATCCTTCAGAAGCTGTGTTCGGCTCCGACTCTCGCACTGCGCTCTTCTTGTTTTTTGTGTGTTGTAGGCATCCAGATTCACCTCACTGATTTTTTTACTTTATTTTAAATTACAGCCAAAAGTGACACAGTGTGACATTATCTAAAATTACACCAGTCAAAGAGAATATGATAAACTCAGGTAAAATTAGCCTTCCTGTGTTTACTCTGTAGATTCCAGTACAGAATGGACCAGTATGCGTCGTCAACCTATCGGGTTTAAAAATGGCGACCTCCATGAGTGGAAAAAAATAACAAAAATTATATATTTTTGAAGTAATTATGAGCTTTGCTGTATTACAGCATTTTTTTTAGTTAGCCAGAAAGATACAACATATTTATGTTGTATATATGACCATGTTATTGGCCAACATGGTCAACTATTCTTGGATCCCTTTAATGAGGAAACATCTGATATCGCTGATAGAAAGGTGAAAATTAAACTGATGAGAAAGAAGCAGTGAGTCACATATTATTTGTTGTCCCATGAGTGAATAAGAAGATACTAGTAAGTATCGTCCTTGGTTTGACTCTCTTTGGTTCATTCCACCAGTATTTACAAAAAAAGCAACGTTTATGCTCCGTCTCACAAGATTCATTACCCCAAATGGCGAGGAGACTCAGACTTGGACAGCAGATCAAGACATGACCTTTCTCGAAGCCAGAGAGGCTGTGGAGCTCCAGACATTACCTAAGACTCTGTTTCTTCATGGATCGATGCTTTTCTTTTTGTTTAACTTTGTATTAATTCAGCAAATGTGTCTGAGCAGAAAATATGATTTTTCAAAACGAAACAGGGTCTATAAAAGAATGCGTTGATCTCGTAATATAGTATAAGTCTTAATCAATCATTTTTCAGGCTTATTCCAGACATTTTGAGGCTTATTCACATGCAGCTCTGCAAATTTAAGTACAAAACTGCCTTTTCCACCCACTTAAAGGCCAGGGATATGGCCAAAGAGGTTGGGGGCATGGCCAGTGATGTCAGGGGCGTGGTCATAGATGTTAGGGGCGGGGGCCACTTGCCAGTTTACTATCATATCGTACATGGATTACAGTTTTGTCCACACTTAATGTGGATCCTAATCCTTTTGCTGTTTTCAACCGCCATTAATATTTTCTTTTTGTTTACTGTTTCAAGTTTTAAAAATGGGACATTACATAATTAACACTTACATGTACATAAATGAGAGTAGAGCTCTATACAGTTAAGCAACCCTAAGCTAAACAGGCTAATCATGTCACTGGTAAAATTAGCTTGTAACAAACAAATCTACTTTATAGTTTTCATATGCTTTTTTGTTTTGGTAAATAAATAGTTCTGTTATTCAAGTTCTGGCCTACTGTTCATTTTGATATAAACTTAAGTGTATTTAGATGAAATTGCTATTTTAGAGTGCTACATTTCTACAGTTTATCCCCCTGCCTGGCATAAAAATATGCTGATAGCAAGCTGTTCTCGGACCACACACCACTGATGAAGATGAAGATCCGTTTCAGCAGTTTGAGCAAAAGCGCTCCTTCTTCAGAGGACATATTAAGAACTTCTCATACACGGGTGTGATGTAATGCTGGTGTAATCTGTTTATTTGATTTGCAAACATGAGACATTCAATAATCAATTATGTATTTCTAAAATAAGTGAGATGTCTGATTTGTGTGGCAAAAGTGCAGGAAATCTCATTTTATTGCAATTCAGTCTCTGCTCTTCAAATTCCTGTAGCAGAAAGAAAAACAGTCTTATGTAAGAAAATAACTTTATAGCTTCATAGATGATATCTTTTTTTACAGTACACTCTACTTCAAGCAACATCCTTACTGGAAACCGCATAAAAATAGATCTTTGGGGGATGAAAACAGTAAAAATAAATAAATTCTATCATGAAAATACATCTTTTTGTTTCAGTTGATGGATGTTTTGCGTTTAATTTCTGTTTGTACTAGCTATACATCTCCAGGTAAATTTTTGAGAGAGGTTTGAGAGCCTCATGCTCTCATGCGACAGCAGCAGGTCAACGCTCGACTTCGGGGGAGTTTTTCCCTGTGAAAACATCCCCACCTTCAGGCCGTGCTCCGTTTCCACCAGCTTGTTTCAGCAGCATCTACCAAAAAAACACCCAGAAATCAAAAACGTCAGACCAAACAGTTTAAATTGAGAGCGTAGCAGTGGCTCAGAAAGTTCTAACTCCCTGTTCAAACATGGTTTTATTCACAGTCTGTGCTTTTTTCAAGGTTTTTCCAGCAACATCATTTAGTGGCAAAACCACTCAGCCTTTTACTGAAAGGGAGACACTGTGTGTCCTTGTGAGTCATGTCAGCTTGCTGTGACTCAGGTTTTTGTCAAACTCGTCAAAAGTTTGTGCATTTGCTCCTTCTGATTTTGACACCCGCTGCAAGTTTTGTACCTTTTGCACCTTTTGCAAGGACGAATATGAGAAACTTGAGATGTTAAGTTCACATCTCATCATTTGCAAGTAAAATTAACCTTCTGGTCATGACTGATGCACAAAAGATTTTTTTTTCCTCACTGTTTATTTACTTTTTTTCTGCTCCAAAGAGGCTGCAAACAGCATGAAATAAGTAATAACATCTTCAAGATTGAATGCAAAAGGCACGAATTTTACTCACAGCAACATGAAAGATTATTTTAATCTGACGACATATAACACATTTAGGTTCCTTACAGCATAATGTTTAAAACATTGTAAAGCAATCCTTGTTATCATTTGCATTGAATTTGAATTATTTTTAAGTGTTTTGCAAAATGATTCATAGCCCCTGAACTTTTTCAGATCCTATCATGTTAAAACAGGAAATTTAAATATATTTAGCTTAAATTTTATACAGCTTTAAGTGTTTTTCAGTGTAGAATAGACTTTTTATTTAAAAAAATTGCATGACTTGAGATCAAAATTAAACTTTGGGAGGGGACTGTAGGATTCATTGTTCTGAACTATCCCCATTAAATAGTTCAGATCATTATATTTGAATGGCCTAGTCAAAGTCCAAACATAAATGAAAGTTCCTTAAGGAAGACTTAAAAAGTGAGATTCACAATTGCTCTCCATCCAGTGTGACTGAGGTAGAGTCATTTTGCAAAAAAAAAAGTAGAATTTTTTTTTTTTTCAAAAAATGTGCAACTTTTTTTTGCAAATTTCTAGTTTTTCTGGAAAAACTAGAAATTCAACTAGAAATTAGAAATTTATTTGGGCAGATATTACATCTACACAAATGCAGATGTAATATCAACAAAAGACAATTCTTCAAAAGAATTAAATTAGAAAAGCTAAATACGATTTCCAAACAACACTTTTCAGATTTTATTTTTAAAAATATTTTAAAATATCATGAGTCAGTTTCCTTCTGTTTCTCAGTGATGCACCACTGTGTGTTATCATATAAAATCCCAATAAAACAAATCAAAGTCTGTGGTTTGAACATATGAAAATGTTCAGGGGGTGTGAATATTTTCACAAAGCACTGTAAAAACCAAACAATAAAAAAATGTTTTGACAATTTAAAATTCAGATTGTCACACTCACTTAACAAAATTCAATTTATTAATTTTACTTACAATTCTATTTATAAATTATGTCTTTAAGCAAGAATTTATTATGATATTAGCAAATTAGTTTTCAGATTTAGTTTTATTTTTGCTGCTAACTCATGTCTGAGAGCGGACCTGAAGACTTTAAATCTGATTATTGTGATTTTAAAAGCCGCACCAGGTAGGTAAACTGAGCGAAATAACAGCAATTTCTATCACCACGACAAAAAAATTACATCTAATGTGTAAGATATTATATGAATCTTCAATTATTTAATACATTTTTGCAAATTATGGTTACAGTGTGCATAATTTTTTAATTAGTTCATTTATTTCTGTTTCTTTGATGCCCACTCAGAGGCCGGCGATCACACAAAAGGACTCTAATGGGAATTTTTATTTAACAATAAAGAAAAGGGGACCAAGAGACAACTTGCAGTGCAGGGCTCAGTTGCTTAGCAATGTCTTGCACTAGTCGCTTTAACATTGAACCTGCTTTGGGTGATTAATTTAGATGATTCATGCTTGCAAAGCAACAACAGCAGGGAGGGTTTAGAGACGCTTTGGTGACGAAAGGAGAGCAATAAACAGAGGAGCTAGTGTTATTTAAATACGTAAAACTCGAGAAAAGCTGAAACATTGCAAAGCTCCAGCTTGAGCCTGTAACCTTGAACGAATAAAACCCAGAGCTGCAGGTTTTATGTTTATAACGACCTCTCAGACGTACGAAGAGTTTGACTTACTCTGCTCTGTCACATGGCTGAAGGAGTATAGTGATTAAAACCAGACTCCTGCAGTTTGCGGAAGCCAGAAAAATAGATTGCAGTTACAGATATTCTTCACAAGAGGGAAGTACAGAAGCATGCACCTCAGCCTGTGCAGCATTAGTAAAGGTAGACCCACATGAGGAGGACTGAAATTAAAGTTTAACTCAAGTTTCCACCTTTGGTATGAAAACACTTTTGTAACAACGTTCACATTCAGTAAAACCAAATGTGAAAGTGAGAGAAAAAGAAACTAAATTCCCCGTCTTTTACCCAATTCTGAGTCATGCAGTAAATATACCAATGCTTCCTTTTGCATCATGACAGGAGTGTGAAGCAAGTTTGGGGTTTTCCTTTTTAAAAAGAAAAAAAACAATTCCTGCTAAGTCTTATTTTCCTGAAAGCGGTGACTGCTAAAAATAGATGTCTGCTCTGTCACTGTTTCTGTCTTCATGCCCAACAGATTCAAACTAATTAGCTAAAACATAGGAAACACAAGGCAACCTGTTTGTACTGTTTACTTGAACATTTTCACTTAATATCCCATTAGAACGACAAACCTTCATGTAGTTTTATGTGACAGACCATTAAAAAGTGGTGGATAATGCAGGGTTTTATTTTTCTGTATTTTAAAATCTAAAAATGTTGCCCATTTGTACTGAATCTCTTTTACACTAATCTCTGTAAATAAAATCAACCATTTCTCTCGGAGGCAGTGCTAGACTGGTGCATTTGTTTTGGTTGTATTTACCCATAATTCCCTGTGATATAGTTTGTTTTTGCTTTGGGAGCGGCCTTTCGTCCGTTTGGCATACAGATATGCATTCAAACCATGCCGAAGTTCACTCTAATCAAAGCGAGACGTAGGTTTTTAGGCAGACCAGAGTTTGCCTTTATGGTTTAGGGTTCGACTGCGCATTCACACCTCCCCAAATGAAGCAGACTTTCTAAATAAACAAACTAGAGTTCGATTAAAGTGGGCTAAACAGGCCTGGTATGAGTGCAACCCCAAGTTTCATTTTGGGTCATTATCTTGAACTATCACACTCTGTTTAATTCACACTCTGGCTGCTTGTTCAGACGAGAATGATTCTTTGGATCTAAATACATGGAAGAAATTTAAACTTAAGATTTAAAGACACTTTCCAACTAAGCCTGAGCTATTTTGTAATGAAGAGTAAGCAAGAAGTTTGACAAAGCATTGACACGTAGCCACATATCTGGAAAACCAAATATATCTTTGTGTTTTGACCTCAGATTAATATAATTAAAGAAGATAATTTATATAAACCCTGGTCAAAGTGGAGATTTAAAAATACTCCATATTTGTGTTTGCGTGTATATGGGAAAACTGAGATTTCGGGTCCAGTGCGTTAGAATCTACAACAAATAAGGCACCAATATATCCAGACACTTAATTTGACATGATTCCCAATCGACACTGTCTTGTGTTTTAATAGTTTTATATTCTAATATGCTATTTAAAAGTAGTTCAACCTAAATATCCGTCCACACAAATGAACTTTTTGGTGCCATGTTTAAGTCCTAACAGGAAGTTGTGTTTTGAAGCAATCTGATTGGCTGACATAGATTCTAGATTTGCTCTACATTGCCCCCTATGGGTTTAAACAACGATCACTGGTGGATTTGTGAGTTCATGTGGATGAAAATTTCCTGTGTGTGCGATATTATGTTTTAAACGACGTGGCAGTGATATTTCTTTTTATAAAGACTCAGCTTCATGTGCACACCACACTTTTCAGATATAAATGTGTTAAAATCATCTATGTTTTCAATACATGTCACAATAATGTGCGATTGTGAGCTGAACTCTGCTACAAAATTCAAATTAAATACTTTGAAGTTTGGGACTGTAATTTGGAAAAATGTGAAAAAAGTCAAACAGGTGTGAATACTTTTTCAATTTGCTGCAATAAAGTGAAAAAGTCTTAAAATAGGAGTTTTGCCTTCCTGAGAGAAAATCATCCAACTCTGCTGTCTGATTACAACCACATGTGTAACATAACTCAGAAATAAATTCCCTGTTGCGCTCGCCAGGCCAGACACATTTTGCAGTGTGGTGAGGACCGGGAAATCATGTGATATCAACAAAAGCAGACATATTACGCCCTCTCCTTCCTCTGCCGCCCACACACAGAGACACACACTCACACTTTAAACCCACATTTTTTTCTTTTTTTTTTTTTTTGTCAAAGAGATGGAACGCTGCTATTCATTTGCTGACTTTGACCCCTGCCCTGCCAGTAAACAGAGCAAACGTCATCAGCTGCAGGCACAGACAGAAACATCAACACTGTAAAAGACGACAGAGGGAGAGAAGGAAAAGACTTACTCTGAATTGTTCCCCTGCCTTGTCCCTTTCTGAGCTCTGCTCTCCACGGCTGGGCCTCCTGTGCCAGTGGGGGTCTTCCACCAACCCACCCACGCCCCGCCTCCTTTACACCATGCTGGTGCTCTGGCGTCCTCTAGCAGGGTAGGCAGGGGTCCTAACGGGCTTCAGCGGCGGGTATGGGCCCTTCCCACACCGGCCATTTTGAGGGTAAGGTGGCGGCTTTTGAGTTCTTGCACTGGAAGTACTGTTGCCTATGATGACTGTAGGGTCAAGGGTGTGTGGGTGAGGTTCTGGACGAATCGGGCCGTTGTGGTTTAAATCTCCTGCGAGTTGCAGGTGAGGCAGGTGGCCGTTTGCGCTCGGCTTTTTGTGGCTGACGCCTTTCTGGAGACTGGGTGGGGTGAAGTGGCTCGTTTTGACGACGGACGCCATGTGGACGGGAGAGACGGAGTTGGTTCTGAATACGACGTGGTCTTCGTCAACGCCGTGCGACGATACCCGGACCGCAGCAGGCTTGCGAGCGGGTAGAGGGGATAACCTGAAGTCCCCTGAAGACGCCGAATCATGAAGGTTATTGGATGACCCCAGAGTGATGCACGGCTCCTCTTCGCTGAGGTCGATATTCGCTGTGAGGCGATCAATCTGCTCAACCACCTTGAATGATAATAGAGGAGGCGGTTATTACCAAACTGCAGAGCAATTTAAAATACCACTGAATTTCTGAGTCACAGTTTTTTACAAAGGTTCTCTGCATGTTCTTAGAAATGACCCATTATGATTCCTTGAACAAGTTATGATAGCTATAGGCTGAACAAAACACATTCATTACATTTTTTGCACAAAATCGCTCCTAAATGATGAGATTTCAGTCTGATCAGTTCTGCCTTTTTTGAGCTCCTTTGAGCTAGTCACTTTAAATCCAAATAAGCTGCTGCTGGCCACAGTCCCCCCAACTCAACATTTAACTCGTACTTGAAAATGGCTGCAAACATATGCGCAATTCTACAGCCATACATCTTTGAAAAGCAGAAGTGGAGACATCTCCACAACCAACAAGAATGCAGCAAGTAGTTTCTGGATGACAAACACTTGTCTTTTCCAGCAGCCATTGCACGGCGGTAAAACCTGCTGACCAAACGTGCTAGAGCTCAGCTTGGGTTGCTTGGCAACAGGCTGGAATTTGCTGGGGTTGCTAGGTAACAGCGCAGTACCCGATTGTGATTTAACAATCAGAAGGTTTTTGAAACAGCTCATTTTCCAGACACCTATAAACATTAACTTATTGCCAAACAAAAAAACTGCTGGGTGTTTTTTTTTATGTGTTGTTTTAAGAATCAGTAGAAGCTTAAATGAAAAATAAAAAAATGTGAAAAAAGTACATTTTACATAATAAGTCCAATTTGACAGCTTTTGGTTAGTAAATACAACTCTTTAGAAAAGTATCCGTTCTTTGTGAACTTTTACCTACAAATCTATTTTTAATTTAAGTGATAGCCCATCAGAAAGTAGTACATAAATATAACAAAATGTTTTATAAATAATTTTATATATCTTGCTACAGATTCTCAATTGGGTTTGGATCTGGACTTAGACTAGGCCGCTCTACTCTACCTCTGTCTGTATCTTCATCATTGTTGTTTTTATTAGGATTAATCAACACCCAGTCTAACGTGTTTTTGCTGCCTTTAACAGTTTTTCCCAGGACAGTCGTGTATTTGGGGCCCATCCACATGATGGGAGTCAATCTTGCCACACAGCATGGTGCTGCCACCATCATGATTCACAGTTTTGGCTGTTTGCCACATATGATGAGGGTAGTGCAGAAAATTAAGGTTTATTCTCATCCAATCAGAGCGCCTTATTATTAACTCTGATTAATGCTCGTCAATTACTCTGTTTGAAAGGACGGCCATATCGGGTTTGAAATGTTCAAAGTTTAGTTTTTCTAACATACTTTAAACACAAACCTGAACTCTTTTCTCTCGTTATGTGACATTTGAATGGGTCTGGTTAAACTAGAAAATGGGACTAAAAACAAATGCTTTCCACCTTTTCATTTCCAAACATTATTAAAAACTTAATTCTTCTATTTTACAAATATGCGTTACTTTGTTTTGGTCTATTTTAGAAAAATCCCAATGAAACGCACTGAATTTCATTTAATTCAAAATATACTGTCGGCTTGTGATTAAATACAGAATCATATGCCATTATTAACATTCTCCTTTCTGAAGTCTCATTCTGGATTTTGCTCAAAATGATCACAGATTTATACAATTTAAATTATATCTAGACTCATTTGTGTTTATCTGCAGATTTTTTTTTAAATACTTAAGGTACAAAAACTTGAAAAATAAGATGCATTTGGAAGGGATGTCTTGGATTGCTTTTGAAGCAGGGATCTGTGAAGTAGGCATGAAATATAATCGGCCTTAAAGCAATTTTATTTGTCATTGCTTCTTTCATTGCTTAGGGCTTCACAAACAGCTTTTTTTATCCAAGTAAATATTCCTGTTCTACACTGGGATGCAACCAGTTTCTGTACAACTAACAGATGATTCCTGTTTTGAGAGATGATGTTTAACAACCAACCTGCTAAATCGCTAAAGCTAAAGGAAAGTGTCAAAGGCTGCTTTTGTAACTATGCACTATGAATTAGCAACAGAAAGACATATTATAGACTTTCTGTAATTTATGGAAAGCTTCTTATCCATAGTATTGATATTAGTAGCCATTATGTTACCTGCTAATTAACAGAAGTCATAGCACTCTGAATCAGAATTAACAATTTAAAAATCCAGAGGAAGGTTAGCAGTTCATCAGACATGGTGTCCTAATGAAACAACCAAAACAACTAAAAAATATCCTCAGAAAAAAAAAGAAATCCTGAATTTGGTCGTTTAAACCTCTTTTTCATTTAATTGCTGTTCCTTTATATCTCTTTGTTGCAGGTTTAATCATATTGATTATGGCTTTCCTTGGTACAAAAAGGACCTCTCTTCTAAAAATAAAACATGATTTCGTAATTTTTTTTTAGAAATTTCACGGATCAATTCGTACCAGCAGAAACAATCTTTTGAAGTAATTTGCAATGATCTACTATGAAGAAAAAAATTATATAACTTCAGTAAAAGTTGTCAACTATCAAGAGGTTGCTCAGTTATTTGAGTTTGATCTCTGATCAAATCCTATATTTGCACTAGCTAGCACGCTGAAACGGGGATTAGAAGGATATGCAAATGAATTATGGATGAAAGTCTGCTTTTTATGTTTATTTGTCTCAATAATGACAAATCGAGTTATGTGCAAGGCTTAATTATATAGATGTGTGTGAAATAGAAGCATAGAAACAAGCAAAATGGCAACATGTTGGCACACGAGCTACCTGTGCTGACTGCTGGTTGTACTTGTCACTCAATTCGAGGAGTAGATGTTTTGATCCGGCCCCTTCGGTGTTGGGTTGTTTTTATTTTGCTTTTTTCGTGCATTTATCTTTGAAATATAAAAAATGGCTTTAGGAGGATTTAAGAGGGTTTGGATCTCTGCTTGATGTAGGATACAGACTGACTACAGAGCACTGGCATCCTCTCTGGAGATAAAAATGAAGCAGTGTCCTTGATTCATTCCACTCATTTCAGCATTTGCAGCTAAAATAAAGTGGCACCAAAATGCAGCAGGTAGACTTTTTCTCTCTGGAGTATTCACATTAGCACTGTCACTTTCTACCCCTGTTCTGTCATTCTGTTGGCGTCTGTAACCACCAGACGTTTCTGTGTTTATGTTCCTTTGTTTATTCCCATGTCCATGGAAGAGCAATGTTATTTTCTGCTTTGCTATCGCTTCTTTTTACTATCTAGCAGTTGTTTTTGAAATAACATTTTTTTCTTGCTTAAGGCTAACTTGTCATAGCATTACGATTATGCGAAAAGGTTTTCCTATTTTTTCAAACTCTGACCACAGGGGTTTCTGTCAGCTCCAGGTAAAACAGTAAAGTGGCCAAAAATATAGTTTAATTTGGGGCCCCACTTCCAGTTACCTCTATCAATGCACCAATAATGTCTCTTGTTAATTGTCAAAACTCAACTGTTAGAAGGTTGTGTATTTAACACCCTTTACTTCATGGTTAGCAAACAAAATGAACGAACTGACTCTGCTTACCCTCAAATTATTAGGATTCAGATTATTTCTAAAAGATTTTCAATGTTGTGGTTAGTTTTACAACCACACATGGAAGTGTAATTTATTTATAGCTCAATATAAGGTACAATGTGCATAAATGAACACAGATATATTCCTTGTTAGACCAGAAATATAATGAATATTAGCATAACTATTCACATTGGCGGCTCTAGACCAAATTTACCAGGTTTTGCAGTGTTTTTTTTTTCATGGGGACACAAAACTATACTGTAAAAAAACAAAACAGGTCAATATTTAATTGTTTAATATATTAAATGACCCATAGAAACTACAGGTTAAAAACCCATGATCGAGCAGATGAAAACTGTGATCCAGCTTGGTACAACTGAAGCTAAAAACATCAGACTTTAATGTTTAATTCATTGTTAAAGTAAAACTGCTAAGGTAAAAAAAATTTAATTAGTCAACGGACCAATTAGTTTCTCTTTCTGTGCCAGTAAGAAACTGATTTAGCCAGTTCTAAAGGGGCAATGGCCCCTGTTGGCCCCTGTCTAGAACCGCCCATGACTATGAAAATATGAGTCATTTGAATCACTGTCAGTTCTCCTAACATCTAAATAAGTTTAAAATCTTACAAGCCTGCTATTAGCTAATTTAAAATCAGCTTTAGTCTTAATAAACACACCACACATAAATTTGTGTGGAGCCCCCTGCTGGCTTGGGGGACCTGGGCAGCAACTCAACTCACTTTGCTTTCACTGCAAAAGCACAAAATCTTACCAAGTATTTTTTTGTTTAGTTTCTAGTGCAGATGTCTTGTTGCAATTGAAATAAGACAAAACTAACTTACACGTAACTTTTCAGCAAGAAGCAGGAGCTTATTTTACGTCAATAAGTCATATTTAAAAGTTAAATAATCCCATTTTTCCGATGTCTTGTTCCACTGACAGATTATTTCACTAATAGCAAGCACTTTTTCATCAATATTAAGGAATTATTGACCAGACCAAAATACTTGGCAGGATTTTGTGCTTTAGCAGTATTGAGCTGGCTCTGATTACTTCACATAAATTTGAGGGTTTTTTTAGCTAAGGTAAGAAAAAAATAAGTTTTTATTTATTTATTTAATAATCTTAGAGTGTTATACATAATATGTTGTCTTAAAGCCAAACCTAAAGACTGAGCACTTTTAAGCTTGTATTAGCAATCGATAATTATTTCACCTCTGTCAAATTGGAATATTTGTGTAAACATTAATATAAATTATGAACAACTGGCTTAAATTAAACATTTTTTCATCTATTTTGTGTCCATATGGCTCGGTTTTATTCATCAAGCAGCAACACCAGGCATTTGGCTCCAAATCAGTGCTCATTTACAGCCACATGCACAATGAATGCTGCATGATTTAGTAAGAGTCTATATCTCTGGGCTTTGTAATGTGTCGGCTGGAACGCTGCCGGTACATCGGCGCTCTGCTAAAGGTCAGTGCAAATTGTTCTCAATCACGTCTTTGGTGAGAGACGATGACTGACTCACAAACAATGCAGTCAGCATGTTGAGACACACACACTCACACTCACACTCACACACATGCTATGAGGAGTGCACACTCATGACCTGTGTCAAAATGCTCATTTTTTCCAGGATCTGAGCTTTGTGATAATCACTCTAAATGTCACTGTAGCCAGGAGAGAATTGATAAAAGGCTGAGGCATCTGCAGCAGATGCAGTCTTTCATGATTGGACACCTGAGGTACGCCCAGAGGATTAAACATCTTTAATTACAGACCTTCCTACCTCTTTCATCTCCACGTGAACTTGCTTCAGACCCCCCAACACTTCCTCCAGATCTGCTACGACTTGTCGGATTTGATCCCTCACCAAGTCCTGCCGCCCCCTTTGCCTCGTCACTTCTGAACCTTCACTGTGGAGATCACTGTTGGTGGTTGTTTTGGAGGTTTCTGAGCAGGTGATGTCAGATCCCTTATGTCTCCTTTGGCTCAAGTGCTTCTGAGGGACTTCAGTCGGAAAGAAGCCCTTATCAGACTCAGCGTAGCCGTTAAAGTGGTCCTCTGATCCACCCTTTGGCCTGCCCTGGTCCAGATAGCAATCTCTTTCCTCCTCTCCCTTAAAGACCACACGCCTCGGTCCACAGTGGCCATTTGTCAAGTGCGAATGACCCGACTGGGGATGGCGCAGCTCCAAATGATAGCCATTAGGAGCGCATGCACAGCCTTCCTCCTCATCCACCGATATGTACCTGACAGTCCGCCTTCGTCTGTACCCTTGACCTTTGACCTGAAGATGAGGGAGAGGGTGGGGTATCCCAGAGTGGAAGGGGCGTGCTCTGTCACTGCCTGCCACACAGCCACACTGTTCTCTCACAAATGAGCAGTGTCTCACCCCAGGCTCCGTCGGGTCGCCCCACTGGGCAGGGTTCAACTCCCAGGGGCAGGATTGACTCAAGTCATCCGACTGACTCCAAGGGCCCGGCCCCGCAAACACAGGCCTCCTCTGTGGGCTGAAATGACCGCTTCTTTCAATTCTGTCCACCAGGAAATCTCTGCCTCCTCCATCTTTACCCCGAGGAGCCTGGGTGTCTCTCCAGCAGCCGTGCGATGACGGGTCCATTTGTCTGGCTTGCTGATGCCCGTGCAGCTGGTCATAGTAGATGCAGTGCCGGCAGGGGCAGGGGCTGTTACTGTTGCTGTAGTTCAGAAATCGGTGGTGTCCCGTCGTTTCGGAGCCTTCTGTGTACATGTCCGAAGTGGGCAGCAGACTTGAGAAGAAAACGCCTTAAAAAACGACTGCTTTCCTTTCCATACGAGCTCACTCCAGGCCAGTCATTTGCTCGCTGTTTTTCTCATCTACGTCTTCCCACAAGAAAACTTTTGTCTTTCTTTTTTTTTCTTCAACTCTCAACCCAAGACTCCTTCCTCCCTCCCCTTCCTTCCTGTCTGTTGTTTCCCCTTTTCTTTTCTCTTGTAACTGTTAATCTTACATGCACACTTTCCGCAGACCTTCGATACTTTACGTACTTCCCCCCTCAAACTTTTTCTCGTTCCTTCTTCTTTGGTCACCCTGTAGCCCTCTCTCCAGGACGGGGCCCCTCTCCACCTCCCTCCCTCTCTGTCTCTCTTTCTACCTCTCCCGCCTCGTTGCTCTGTCTCATTTGGTGCTGCAGGCGTCCAGTCTCTCTCTCTTTGGCAGAGTATTTCCCGTCTCCTCCCCTCCCCTCTCTGGCTCTTTTCTCCACCTCTTAGCGCCTCTCGCCTCTGGTATATTCTCTCACATAGTCGATAGTACCTGGATTATTTGAAAATCCCTTCTCTCCCCTCCACCTGAAATCCAGCCGCTGTGTGAGGCTCGTCTGGTGAAGGACTCCATGTGGTGTTTTGCTTTCTCAGAGGGTGCGTGGAAGCGCCTCAGCTCCGGTGCTGAGCTCATTAGCCCAACTAAAAGCCTTTGCACTCTGCAATTAAACGCTGCCTGGGATTCCTCAGCCAGAGACTGAGAGAAAAGTGGAGGGGAGGGGTTTGGAGAGGACCGCTCTGGGAGGTGGAGTTTCAAACATACACAGACGAAGGAGCAGACAGCAGTCTGAGTCAAAAGCAACGCAGTCAGGGACGACAGTTTTTCATTATTTTCATCCTCAGATTTCTCCCACGTATTTTTTTTTTTGTTCTCTCCATTCAGAAAATTTTGTTCAACACAACAGCTGAAAAAACTTCAGTCTACAGTCACGATTTGCTTCAGACTTTCTCAATTCACAACCACAGAATATTACATATTTTATTGACATGTTATGTGAACAGAAACACCTTTTGCACTTGGGAGTATGTCTCTAAGGGCTTTACGCATTTGGGATGTTTTCACACTTGATCCTGTGGTAGACTCAGTTTGATTGGGCACCAAATTTGCAACATTTGCTGCATTTACAGCTGATGCAGTTCACTTTCACACTGAAACGATCCAAAGCTTTTGAAGAACCTGTTCACCCCCTCGCCTGTGGTGGCTCTTCACCAAGAAGGATAAAACACAAAAACCTCTGAAGAAGACATTAGCTCAACCTCCTTCTTCGTGGATGTAAACAAAAATGGAGTGACATTAGCTTTTAGTGGTTGTAGGATTTCTCTTTTGTTCTTGGGAAAAGACCATGATCCATTTCTCCCACTAGTGCCAGACACTTGCTTTAGTTTTCGTCGTATTTACCCAGAATCCCAAGCGCTACAGTTTGCTTCCTTCTTTTGGAGCATTTTCTATTCTGCTTTCATCCACATATGCATTCAAACCGCACCAGAGTTTGCTTCAACTGAACCAAGATCTAGCTTTGTAGGTCATTTTTGACCGTTTTTTTCCAAATTAAATTACTTCCATTTTGCTCAGACTGGATGGAGATTAACTTTGAATGGCTACTTTAAAAATTTCTAATTGGACTCAGTTCTAGACTCGGGATTACTTCAAGGGAACATTCAAACAAGCAGTATTTAGTCTACGTTATTTGAACCTTAGTTTGTTTGCTTAGAAAGTATGACTCGCTTGAGGAATTTTGATTACACAATCAAACTCTGATGAAGACCAAAAAAAAACAAGAACTCTGGTCCATCTAAAGACGTAGGTCTTGGTTATGTTGAAGTGAACTCTGGTGCGGTTCGAATGCATATGTGAATGGAAAGTGGACTGGAGGACGTTCCAAAAGCAGGAAGCGGACTAATTGGATAGAACTAGTAGAAGAGAAACATCAGCATTTATTCTCTGCAGTTCCTTCTGAGTTACCATGAGCCTCTTGGCTTTTTGTTTTCTGCTTTTCTCTGTTTTCAATGTGCTGTTTGCTCACAAATGTCCTCTTAAAAACCACTGAAACATTTTTTAAAACAGCAGTTTTTATACTAAGAATAAATCAGACACACGTGGACTACATCAACTACTTGGTGAGTTCTGAAGGTAAATGTTTGGGCTTCATTTTATTTAGAGAAAAGGGGCCTTCCCCTTTGCACAACAGCCCAATGATATACACTGGAATTTGTGATTGCAACTTTTGCGAGGCACTGAATTAACTCCAACTCTACCACGGTTTTGTAGGAGAAAGCTGTGCCCAATCAGGGCGTAAAGTCATTAGTTTTTCCTCTCTCAGTTTTATGTGTGTAACTAAACTTGATAAGAAGAAGAAAACAGGCGTGTCAGCGCAGGATGAGCTCGCAATATCTCTCTCTGTTTCGCTTGTGTTGCAGATTTTCATCTGAGGAAGGTTTCTGCTTGAAAGAAAATAACTGGAGCCTTGAAAACAATGGGTTGTAAAAAAAGAACTGCTGAGGATAACAGCAGAGGAAGATGAAGGGATCCGTCCATCCCAGCAGGAGGATGAGCAGTCCAACCACAGCTGCAAGGAAGTACTGTGGTTAGAGATGAAACGAGATTGAGATAACTTTATCTTATTATATAAATATATTCAACAAGCTTTCCTGTGGAAAACAGAGGTATGCACATATGCAGAGAACTGCATTAAAAGTTTTAAAAAGCTTTATGTGTATGTTTTTAGTTACCTAAGTGAATGTATTCCTTTTGGACAGTGCTTTACAAAAGTAATCTCTTGAAGGGCAAACTACTAATTTTTTATTAGGCATGTTTTGTGAAGTGGGAGGAAGATGGGGTGTTTTTTAGACTAGTTCACAAATAAAAGTCAATTTTAGCCATTTCAAAAATCCTTCAGTAAAACCCAGTACAACCCAGAAACAGTCTATTAGTAATGAATACAGTCCATCTGTTTGTAATTTAAGCTCAGGATGAACCCTGTCTATAGCTGAGTTTCAATTACAAATGTGTGCAAACCTCTGTCAATATTCTGCTAATGTTGTAAAAACACAATTTCATAATTGAGGTGTTTTGATTAGATAAAAAAAAAAAACGCAATTAAAATCACATGTGTATAAGTGTGTTCATGCAGTAGGTCATTAAAAAACATGCCATGTTATTCTTCCTATACTTCCGGTAGTCTTTTCATTCATTTGTGCCGGTGTCAACATCCGGTTGTTGATCACGTGACTCTTGTTATATGGAAAAAAGTTTTTCTATTGCAGTTTTGTAAAATAAATAAATTTTAATAAGACAAAAAAAAACGCTTCATCTTGGTGACAACTTTTTATCGAAAAACAAGTTTCTTTCAAAATTGCTGTGTTTTCATTAAGCAAATTTATTTTCAAAATCTTAAAATTGCGCATTATATGGTTAATGTAAACGAAAGCCAGTATGACTTTCTTTATTTGAGTGTGTTCACTGTCCATTTTTAACAACGCAGAACATTTCATATATTGAATAAAATAGTTCCCAAAATGATTTGTAAAGCCTAATTCATCCAAGAGTAGCCATAGCAGCGCTGAAGCTAAGCTAGCTCAGAGCTAGCAGGCCTTAGCATGTCCGGGGAAGGAGTAGCCGCGGTTGTGTGCAGACCAGTTGGTGTTTTCTCTCCTACTTTCCTCCTCCTCAGGGTGTGACTGCAAGGTGCGGTCCCAGCTGAAGCTCATCAGCAGCAATCAGGAGCATTTAGAAGGGCGGATTCCCGCAGGCGGACGCCGTTTGGTTTTCTCACTGCATGAGGTAAACAAATCCTCGGCTACTAACTGTCATCCCAGAACGGACCTGTACGTCTTCCGTTCCAGTCTGTTCCTCCGTCGATGATCCGTTCCTGGATCAAAATGATGTCGTCTCCGTCTCATTTGTAACTCTTCCTTTGAATCCCTATTATTAACTCCAACTCCAGATCGGTTTTGTAGAGTTTCGCTTGCACCCAGTGCTGTTTCCGAACATTATGACACAAATATAAAGTGCAGCAACAACCTCAATTTCTCTCCATAAATTTTTGAAAAATTGTTTTTGTAATAATTTGATAATTTTATGAGGAAAATGTTAATTATTATCTGATCGTCAATATGGGCTTAGAGCCAAAAGGTCAGCTTTAATGACCATAATTCAACTAGTAGAAGATATAAATACAATTTATAAATATAATATATACCGTGGGAGTGTTTATAGACTTCAAAAAAGCATTTGACAGTAAAGATTATGGATTAGTTTTAGATAAATTGGAGAACTTTTTATTACTCGCTGTATGGATCATGGACTATAACCTGACCCCAATTAAAGCTAAGGAAGCTGTTTAGTACAAGTAAGAAAGATTTTGATAATTTTTGAGAGAAATCTGTAATAAACTCCCAATTATGTATTAGCACAAAAAAGTGCAGGGATTTGCTGATTTTGCTTGAATTTCCACAATAATTCTCAAGAAACTGGAAAGACTGACATAATTTGGCAGTATATGGATAAAAACGTCATTCATTTGATTGATAACATAATATTTAAGACCACTTAGAGGGCCACATAAGACGCTACGGGGGGCCGGATTTGGTTTGACACGTGTGGTGTAGCATATTCAATTAGTAGTACTAAATTACAGAAGAAGAAAAAATCTAAAATCCTTAATACTTTCCACCAAATTTATTCATATTTAAAATGCCAATACATGGAGAGCAAAGTGGAACCAAAGTCAACTTCTTTGTTTCTGTAACCAATAAAGCTGATTCTGATTATGACTAAGGCAAAGCTTCATTCTTTCACTTAGAATAAAACATATTTTTATACTTAGGAATATGTCAGAAATGAAAAAGAGTCACCAGGGAACCCGGTAACGAAGTGATGTGAAGCTTTTTACTTTTATCCAAGAGCCAACTCTCACCACATTTTACTGTCAATCTTGGATCTTCTGACTGAACTCCTTTCATGCCAGAAGGCATTTAAACTGCTTTGCAATAATGCCTCCCTGTTATTTAGAACATTTTTAGTTTGTCTCCACACCAAATGTTAGAATGGTAATATTTTCAAGCAACAACTCACAGCGTGTCTTTCAAAACTATATGGGAATGATTTAAGTAAAGCTGGAGTTGAATTATTGGTTTTATATGCAGATTATAGGATGGCTTATGTTGCCTCCAGTACAGTGAAAATACCAGCCTTGCTGTTCCAAAGTTAGAGATATTTTCATACTTTGTCAGCATCACATCTGCATTCTTCTTTTAAATGTGAAAAATAAGATAATGCAAAGCTATATGTCTAAAAATACAAAATCTGCCCCTTTAGGTTAATTTCCTGTCGTGCATAAAAGCACCACACAGAAACTATATCCAGCCAATCTGCATTCCTTCGGCCCAGACAGAAATACAGAGACGGGTAAGCTGATGAGAGCAAATGAAGCAAGATTTCTGTGTGCCAACTTGATCTCAGTGGTTCTTAGGAAAGATTCTTCTGGCATGACTATTTCTTTGTACGCAATACAAAAGAAAAACCAGAGCTACACGTAGCTGTCTGCAGGTATCTAAAGAGAAGTTCACAGCCTTTGCAGCTCTAACACCAGAGTGTTTTGTCGCCCTGCCAACCTTCGCTTCACTGCACGACTGGAGGGCAACAGCAGCAGAGAAAATAGGAGCCACACTGTACCACTCCACCACTGTGAAGCCTTTTAACCTGAACACGGTCAAGATGACCCAACTAGCACAGATGGATGCGTCTAAATGAGAGCACAAAGCATTAACAGATACCAGTCAGGCAGCGTGGCTCGTTTACATCAACATTAAAACGATTTTAAATCTGTAACACTTTTATTATAATAATGAATGTTTTATTAGCAAAGGTTCCTACTTTCTACCTTGTATTATTACAAGTCTGAGCCAGAAAACCTAAAAATCTTGATATGTGATGTTCTAAGTCCTTTATTTAAACTGAAAACTTATTGAATGAATGTAAACATTTTTTAAAAATATATTTGTTTAAACTGTCACAAACCGTATCTATAGCATAAGATACTAGAATCTGCTGAAATACGTTTCTTCAGGTCAGAATCAACCAATCAGAGCCAGTAGGAGGGTCTTAGCGCTGTCAATCATCCTTGTGTATGCACTGCAGAGCCTGCCATGAATGCTCAGGTGACTGAAGGCGGATAAACTCTTTTCCTGTATCGATAAGTTGTTTCTCCACCATTAGCACAGTTAGCTGCACAGACACGAGCATGATTGACAATGCTAAGACCCTCCTTCTGGTTCTGATTGTTTGTTTTTGGCTGGGAGCCGTGCAGTTCTTGAGACAATAGTAGCATTCTGAGCAGCTGGAGGAGACTGATCTTTTCACAGATCATCTGTCTCATATGAAACTGTCACAAATATGTAAAACAAACAAAAAAAAATGTGTAAAAGTTACATACTGCAGATTTAAATCTTTAAAGATTCACTTTGAGGCTAAAATAATTCTTCAATGTCAAATTTAGCCTATTTCGGAAATTGCTCTCCATTGTCTGTCTAAATGCCAGCTTATTACATGTTTTTAACTTAAATATCATCAAACTTATGAGTTTAGTTGCTTGTTCCTTAACTTTTTATGTTCTTCAATACACCTCGCCAGCTCTTTAAACATTTACATGTTTGCTTTGCCTTTTTCTGTTCATCCTCACATCACCTATAAAATAAAGGCAAAACGCAGAAGATAAACTGATATCTTTATGACATTTTCTCTCTCAGGTGATTTCATGGAAAATGGTTTCAGACTGAGATCCAGGAAATAAACTAGGTCAGCGCCTTGGCTTTCTAAACACTTTTCCTCTTGGTGCTCAGTTGGCGTTTGATCACAGAAAACTAAGACTGTTTGAAACTGTTTTACATTTGAGATGCTTCTGTGTCAGTAAAAAGATTTTTTACCAAATCAAATTGAACACACTATCAGCTATTTTACCCTTTTGAAAGCAAAGTGCTTTTCTTTAGGGTCAAGCATTAATTCTGGTTCTTAAAATCTAAATTTTAGTTCAGTTTGCCTCCTTATTTCTGAAATCGTATCGTTTTATTGTGGTTTAGTGATATATATAAACAGACTAACTTAAACTGAGATAATAACAAGAAGAAGAAGAATAGCAATTATTACTATTATGCAATATTATATTAATTTTATTATTATTGTGCTATAATATAATAGTAAGTATTATTATTATTATAATAAAAATAAAAAACAGAGATAAATATATGAAAACATGTATTTTAATTTCTAAAATGACTAAACCAAATTTAAATATTTTTTTTAAATAGGTCCAAAATTAATTTTCTTATTAAGTCTAGGACATCTTCTTATCCTATTCTGTAAATAAATAAAATAATAAAACCAATTGTGTCTGGATTGAGATAAAAAATGATTAAAATACATAAATATACCTGATGTTATTATTTTTTTAAACAAAAGCCATAACAAGCTGAAAATATGAATATATATTTTTTATTGAATACGGGGCATGAAAAGTACAATAATAAGAATAAAAAGGACTTTTCAACTTTGATTAACTCTAACGTTGTTTCATGATAAAAGCTTTCTTTAGTTCTCTCTTTATTTGCAGGTAAAAGTTAACGCTGTAACACTTTAAGATGCAATTAATGTAGAAAATTGAAGTGCATCTTTTCTGCAAACCTCGTTTAAAACTCCTCTACTCTTAATAAAGATTAATAACGTCGAATGTATCGTACCTGTTTTCATGTTATGTCAAGTACAAAGACGGAGCGAGCCCACCGAGAGTTTTAATGAAGATGAACAGCCTCTGCGTCAGATGAGGTCAATCTAATTTCACTCTCAGTCAATCTCCTGCTGAGAGCCACATTTCCTCAGAAACAAGCGTAGAAATGAAACAGAAAGAATAAAAAGAAACATAGAGATGAGAAACTGTGAAAGCCAGGGAATCTGAGGAGGTAAAATGCATTAAAACGAACGAGAACGAGTTCGGCTTAATCAAGCTGATTTCCCTGAAGCAGCTTTTTGAAGGTGGCTAAATGACCGCCATCCTTTGAAGCAGGATTAAACTAATTTAGGCAAGAAAGAAGACCTGCTTGGTTTTAGCGAATAAGAGCTCTATTTTTTTTTAAATATTCCCCCATGCAGGTTTTAACTCACACTGAGGTCG